ATTATTAATTTAATTTAACTATTTTATTAATAATAGTAGCAAAATTATTAACCCAGAGAAAACAACAGAAATTAAGTGGAATCAGAAAGCTCAGAAAGGTCTGGAAATGTCAGGCCATTGATTTAGTGCAATTATTTCTGGTGAATGTCATCAGTACCGTTTTTAAATAGATAACTGCTTCCAAAATCTACTAAGAAACAGAGGTCAAAGGTAAGTGAACTCATTACTTAGATTATTTACCATCATGTCTGTAGAAATACAAAGTGTCCCAAGGCAGAAAACCATTTCTTTCAGATATAAGAGAGCTACAGAATGCAACATTTGGCTATAGAATTGATTAGTCATGATGTACATGAAAAGAATTTAATATCTGGCTTTATGTTCCATTTGAATGTTCTTCAGATATTCCTGAGTGCAAGATCAGACATTTAAAAATAAAAAAGGTCCTTGAGCTAAGAATCTTTTTAGGTACAGTTTTTAAAACAGGGATAGGAACAAAAGTAACCAGAATTTGAGATCCTTTCATTAAATAATTATCCATTCCTTACAAAATTAGGAAATGCAAAAATGTGACAAGAACATGATTAAGCCTGCTTAGTTTTTTGCAGAGACTTACCTATGATCTAGCCGGAGTGAGCACTCTGGTACAGTGCTGGACACCATAAGCTTTACAGTGTTTTTCCTTAAATGCTTGACACTAATGTAACTACTTTACTTCCTAATACTCAGCACATTTCAGAAAAGGAGCATCTGCAATGTAATAACGATAGTAGAATAAAGCAGATTTTAAAGATACTAACAGTAATTTACAATTATTACTGAACAACAGTCTACCTATATGCAAAGATCCAAGAACTGTTTGGAACAGCCTAAAAATCTGATATTCTTCTTGAAGGAAGTCCACTATTTTCAGAAATACACATGCTTTGATTGCTTCCTGTTCTAAGTAGGCAGGTCACAAGTGAGTAATGGATTTTTACACATGCTGAGAATTGTTTCCATGAACTCCTCACAAGAGTATGGTACTCAAGACTTTAACAAAAGAACTGTAATTCTTTTAAAACTTAACTGTAGTTTAAAATACTTATCCATAATGTAAAGAAATTTAAGAGAAGAACAGACCATGTTGTTACCTTGTACAGACTGTGTAAAAAGAGCAATGGACTGGTAAGGATTTTGTTATTAAAGCACTCTAATATTCCCTTCTGTAGCTGAATTGAATGTATTTCTGAAGCTTCTGAAAACTGATTCCAGTCAGGAGAACATTTACTTTTGGATAGCTTGCGAGGATTACAGGAAAAGCAAAACTGCACATGAAATTTTTTCAAAAGTTACAACCGTTTATGAAACATGCAGACAAAAAGATATCCAAAAGAAGTACAGTAAAAACATTCTTCAAGATACAGTGTTTGATGCACGTGCATCCGATGGTGTCTGGTTTTATGAGGTACGTGCTCAGAAACATCATCCATCCCACATCAATAATTGTGGAAGTGGCAGCTGTTAATCATGTAGCCGCTGTCATAAGAAGGCTGCATCTTAAATGTCAAAGCTTTCAAAGGATGTTTTGAAGCCACTGCCTAGGTCATTTTTACTTTCCTCTAGAGCCCTTTCACTACCTCCTCCATAATACTCCTCTATGTCTAAGGAAGAGCATGAAATATTATTTCACAGGAGTCAAAAATTCTTACTCGTCTATGAAATCTGGAAGTATGTTTAAATGCACATGACATATTTAAGGTTAATAGCAATGATAAATGGTAACACTGTCATGAGAAATAACAGTTGGTAACAGTCATTTGTGGAAACATATTATCTTCCTAGATTTAAAATCGCCTGCAGAACAGCAGAATAATTTTCTTATTCTCTTAAACCAGTAGTTATGCAGTAACTTCTTATGTAGCTGAGATTCAGAAGCTTTTATCTAAATAAGCGAAATCACTAAAACCAATTTTTAAATTAAACAAATTTTTTGAAGTAATAATTATAAGCATGATTTAAGCACAGCTGCTTCTTCATTGACACAATTTTATTACCCAAAACAGCTCTAAATTAATATTTTTGGCATGTTACAGGCAACACACGCACAAAATATTTGATATATTGATTCTTTTTAATTCTAAGAGCAGTTTGTATTGTTCAAGTAGTGAAAAAAAGTCTTTTTATTTACAATTTCTTGCTGGAGTGTATTGTAAAAGAATAATCAAAAAAATGACAAAAGGAACATGTCTCAGCTGCTGGGTTGAACCCAGGAAAACAATTCAGCATAGGAGCCAACTGCCTTCTTTAGGAAAGTGATGAACAGACTGGAGGATGATAAATTCACTGAAATCAAAACAAGACATCTTTCACACCTGTAATTCTATATACTTCTACCAAATCTGAGCAGACTGACTTACCTATGTTCCTTTTTTCCGTCTGTTCTTTTCTTGTTTGTCAAAATAGTAGGTATTAAATAGTAACAGCTACTTCTTATAACAGGAGTGAAAAAGGTGTCACTCAAAATTTTAAGAGAACTTTTACAAAATGTTGCAATTTCAGTCATAATTCCTGTGAAATATATTTAAGATTCACATCTGATCTTTCTTGGACGGAGGACTCATTTATTAGGTTTCCTTGCAAAAAGTAATAGCCCATTGTATTTCTTCTCATACAACATCACATTGGGGTGAACCACACATAAGGAGAAAAACCTTGGGTTGCTTGAAGAACCGGTCATTTCCAAGTGGTCATTCTGTGAACAATTTTTATGGAAAACCCCCCAATATCAATAGGTTCTTTCTTTAGATTCCGATGCTTATGAGATGTCTAATGATTTAGAAAAGGTGAATAGGAAGGATAGGTAGGGCACAAAGTCACACCTTGACCAACAGTAACATCATGATATCTGCATCTGCCATAATCTTGAGTTGGTGCATAGAGTATGGATGTTGTTCTCCTTCAGCAGTTGGCTCCTATGCTGAATTGTTTTCCTGGGTTCACGCCAGCAGCTGAGACCAGCTGGCAGCATCTGACTAAAGATCCACCACTTCCAGAAATTGCATCTTCTAATTGACTACTTTAGAGTCCGGCAGAACACTTTCCCACATCTTTTCTAATCATACAGTTAGAAAGGATATTATAATATTAGGTCCAACAGATAGTGTGTTTTATCATTACTGATTGCTTTTCAGTTTTGAGGTTCAAACTATTTGTTACCGCTAGCTTTGTGCAAGTACCGATAGAGAGTATGACAGCTGTATCTCAATTAGAAAAAGATAAAGCAATAGCACATTATGGAAGACATTTTCTGAGTGGTTCAGGAGTTTATTACATGAAAATATTGTTTAGATTTCATTTTATTACATCCACCATGTGTCCTGGGCCTGTATAATTTAGAATAGAATCTTGTCACGGTCTGAATGTCATTTTGCACACAGCTATGTGTTTGCTTGTTTTTGACTAACATGGGGTATTTGTAGTATTTTCTCATACTGCTAAACACATGGGAATATGAATTAGGCAAAATGTAAAATTACAAGGCTTTTACCTACAGCCACTGCATAAGTAAAATTTTAATGATTGCATATATTAAGAGATCATAAGAAATTTAATTTTTAGTCATATATTTTATACTATTTTCTTTGTCTATTATACTATTGTATTATTATATTATGTTATTTGTCTGTTCTCTTTGTGTAAATTATGCTGTATATTTTGGCTTTGCGTTTAAATATTTGTATAATTTTTTTTGCAACTAAATGAGCCAAAAGGGCCAAGAAAAGCACCATGAATGTTACTTTGCCACACTGTGTTCCATTAAAAACAAGTGAACAGATTAATATATACATATTTTACTTTTATTTGTTAATCGTCAGGTAATATTGCCCTCATTACTAACTTCACTCTAAAATTTTATAACTTTTATGCCTTTTGTGTTGAAAGAAAATCTGAAGAGTAAAAGCCAGACCTTTGGCAAAGTTGGAATGACGAACAATTTTACATGTCTTTTGCTTTCCACTCTGCGTGGAAGGGAGAGGTCCCCTTTTTAGTTCTTTACTATTCAAGACATCCACAAAAGTTTTATAGTCAGAGCATGCAATTACCCTCTCTTTGGCTTTCGGGATTCACGTAGACATATCCTGAAGCATGGGGCAATTTTTAAAATATTAAATGTTGGTTCTGTTAAATAATTCAGTGACTGCAGGATTTAGTAATAGCTGCGACTGGCCTATTCAATCACTTTGCACAGAATTTAAGTTTTTTTCTTCTCCTTTCAGTTACCAGTCAAAGTGAAGAGATACAGTTTCTGAGGATGGGATTTTATTTTCATTACTAATTTAGAGCATATATGAACTGTTCAGCCTGAGAGATTCAGTGTCCCCTGTACTAACTTTCAGTCCACTCAAAGTTATATATTAAGAGCTGTCATGATGCAGTTTAATGCAAGGTTCTTAATGTGTAATATAGAATCATAGAATCATTTAGGTTGGAAAAGACCTTTAAGATCATCAAGTCCAACCGTTAAACTAACACTGCCAAGTCCACCACCAAGCCACGTCCCTAAGCGCCACATCTACACATCTTTTAAATACCTCAACCACTTCCCTGGGCAGCCTGTTCCAATGCTTTATAACCCTTTCAGTGAAGAAATTTTTCCTAATACCCAATCTAAACCTCCCCTGGTGCAACTTGAAGCCATTTCCTCTTGTCCTATCACTTGTTACTTGGGAGAAGGGACCAACACCCACTTTGCTACAACCTCCTTTCAGGTAGTTGTAGAGAGTGACAAGGTCTTCCCTCAGCCTCCTTTTCTCCAGACTAAACAATCCCAGTTCCCTCAGCCGCTCCTCATAAGACTTGTTCTCTAGATTCTTCACAATCTTCGTTGCCCTTCTTTGGACACACTCTAGCACCTCACTGTCTTTGTAGGTAGTACTGCTATCAGATAAGTTGTCCTGATACTTAAGAGGATCGGTAGGTTCCCTTCCTCCCTGCCCAGGTTATATATGATGTTTATGATTGGTACAAGCATTTTAAAAAAAAAAAAGGGTTTCATTTCACCTTTATAATTCAGCACTAATTGAAGCTATTACTATTTCAGCCAAAAGAGTTATCGTAAGTCAAACACACGGATCCTGGACTCACCAGGGAATCATGCTGAGTCACAGAGACCTGGGATCACAGCCATCCCTGAGTTCTCCTGAGGAAGAAACACCTTAATGACTGAGAAGGGTATGAATTTTGCAAGATTATTTTTTTATTCATCCTTAGTCCCAAAGCTTTAGGCAAAAGGTTCACCCAAGTGAATGTTGCAGTCACATAGTATTTTTACTTAAGTGAGTAGTCTGGACAGAGAGACTCAGAAATAAATCCAGTGCCTGTGGTAGTGTTAATATTGTAGTTTAGTCATTCCTAAGACTATGAAATGCATTTTTTGGTTTTGTCAGCCTCCATTTTTTTACAAACTGCCAGCTTTCCTGTGGTCATTATCACAACAGTCACAAAACGGTTGAACAGTGTTGACCTGGTTATTATTGACTACTTAGAAAGGCATTAGCTATGGCTTTGCATCAATGATTGCTGTTGTATGAGAAAAGCAGGACTTGTTCTGCTATTTTATAGGTAAGCAACAATATACAATATACAGTATCCTGTATACAACAGTATTTCACACACAGTATACTCTCCCAAGAGCTTTTTGAAAGTATTTACTGCCTTTTACCATCTACCACCAAGTTAGGATTTGCAATAATTAGTTTATATATTTTTTTTCACCCAGAGCACACTTCAGCTGTCTCGTTCCTGGAGAGAAGGAGGAACTACTGGAACCGATTATCTTCCAAGAAACAACTGAAACAACAATTAAGAAAATAGAGGGTTCTGCGCAAAGTACTGAGTTTGGCATTACAAGCTGCTGGACAATGCTTTTTGACTGCATCAACAGCATAGCTTTGGCATTTTATCTTGACACTAGCTAGCAACCAAGCACACTGCTCATCAGCAGAGAAAGTCATTTAGAAAAGCAAAAGCCTGCTATTTCCAGCTCCATCTGACACACTATTCATATAAATATTCACTGAAAAATTAATCAAATTTTTTCTCTAATTTGCTGTTGGTTTTAAATTACTTTTAATATTTTTTTAACCTGCAGGATTTAGCAGTAGCTACTGTTGTGAAATCAAATTTTCAGAAGGAAATAGTAGCTGGAATAATAGGAGAACAGGGACACAACAAATTTCAACATTACAGGAAGAAAAACAAGGGCTGGTTATAATTTTTCAAATTAAGGATGTCTTTTCCAAAGCAAAATGCAGCAAACTGAACAGTCACTTATATTTTTTTAACCTGCAGGATTTAGCAGTAGCTACTGTTGTGAAATCAAATTTTCAGAAGGAAATAGTAGCTGGAATAATAGGAGAACAGGGACACAACAAATTTCAACATTACAGGAAGAAAAACAAGGGCTGGTTATAATTTTTCAAATTAAGGATGTCTTTTCCAAAGCAAAATGCAGCAAACTGAACAGTCACTTCTTGGAAGAGATTAGATGTTTATGTTTATGTTTATGTTTATGTTGGGCTTATGTGGCAGGGAATTGGTAATGGGAGGGTACGGGGGGGCCTCTGTGAGAAGAGACCTGAGGCTGCCTGTGTGCCAGACAGAGCCAGTTCCAGCCGGCCCCAAAATGGACTCACCGCAGGACACACCTGAGCCTATCAGAGATGATGGTGGTGCCTCTGTGATAACATATTTAAGAAATGGTAAGAACACTGTGCAGCAGCTGTGAGAGAGAGAAGTGACAAAAAAAAAAAACCTGAGAAACATCCCTGCAGACACCAAGGTCAGTGAAGAAGAGGGGAGGAGGTGCTCCAGGAGCCGGAGCAGAGATTCCCCTGCAGCCTGTAAAGAAGATCATACTGAAGCAGGTTGTCCCTCTGCAGCCCATGAAGGACATTGGAGCAGATATCTACACTGTCGCCTGTGCAGGACACCACACTGCAGCAGGACAACATGCCCTGAAGGAAGCTGCAGCCATGATGAGCCCATGCAGGAGAAGGTTGCTGGCAGAAGCCATAGCCCATGGAGGGGAGCCTACACTGGACCAAGTTTTCTGGCAGGAGTTGCAGCCTGTAGGGGATCCACAGTGGAGCGTACCATTCCTGAAGGACTCTACCCCATGGAAAGGACCCACACTGGATCAGTTCACAGAACCAGAGAATCACAGAATCAGAGAACCACAGCATCACAGAATCACAGAATGGTTGAGGTTCTGGATTGAGTCAAGGGACTCCTGGATGTCATCTGGTCCAACAGCCCTGCCCAAGCAGGGCCAACTAGAGCCTGTTGCCCAGGACTGTGTCCAGATGTTTTTTTAATAAGGAGGGAAACTACACAACATCCCTGGGCAACTTGTTCCAATGCTTACTCCCCCTCTGTTATGAATTTATGCCTGCCAGCCACCTTAACAGGGTCCGACCCTAGGATCCCGCTGAAAATGCAAAGTCCGAGTGAAGGTTTCCAGTTACTCTTCTATTAGTTCTCAGATTACAGCTCGAGCTGGGTGCCTCTGGAGGGGGACCCCCATCCGAATTCATGCCTCTCAATTATACCCGTACCACCCATCACCTGATCCCCAAGTCCAATCACTTAATTCTGGTCAGTGGTCTCTTGATTTCTTATTGGTTTTCACTGTCACAGGGCTGTCCTTCTTCTGAAGTTACTTCATTCTCTTGGAATTGTCTCCTTGGTCCTTATCTTTTTCATTCCACTCGTATCTGCCAGGTTCAGCTAGTTCTTTGTTAGCAACATTAGTTTTATCAAAAAGTTTACTCTCGGTCAGCTCTTGTGGCCTAAGGCTTCAACTACTTTAGCTACTAGTGCTAAGCTACTAATGCTAACCAAGATTATTCAGAGAGAAGAATACAGTTAATCAGATTTCTTCTGTAACACCCCCACAATAAAAAAGTGTTTCCTGATATTCAGACGGAGCCTCCTGTGTTTCAGTTTGTGCCTATTGCCTCTGGTCCTGTCACTGGGCACCACTGAAAAGAGCCTGACTCCGTCCTCTTTGCCCCCTCCCTCCAGGTATTTATACACATTGATAAGACCTCCCCTGAGCCTTCTTTTCTCCAGGCTGAACAGTCCCAACTCTCTCAGCCTTTCGTCATAGGAGAGATGCTCCAGGGCCTTCGTCATCCTTGTGGCCCTTCATTGGATTCTCTCCAGTATGTCCATGTCTCTTTTGTACTGGCGAGCCCAGAGCTCGACACAGTCCTTCAGGCGTGGCCTCAGCAGTGCTAGGTAGAGAGAGAGGAAGGATCCCCTCAGTCAACCTGCTGGCAATACTTTGCTTCTTGCAGCCCAGGATGCTCTTAGCCTTCTTTGCAGCAAGGGCATGTTGCTGGCTTATGTCCACCAGGACCCCCAGGTCCTTTTCTGCCAAGCTGCTTTCCAGCTGGGTGACCCCAGGTCACCTAGTGCCTAGGGTTTTTCCTCCCCAGGGACAGGACTTGGCACTTCTTCTTGTTGACCTCCAGGAGATTGCTGTCAGCCCATTTCTCCTGACTGTTGAGGTCCCTCTGAATGTCACTACACTCCTCTGGTGTATCAGCCACTCCTCCCAGTTTTGCGTCATCTGCAAACTTGCTGAGGGTACAGTCTGCCCCATCATCCAGATCATTAGTGAAGATGTTAAATAGGATCAGACCCACTATTCACCCTTGGGGTACACCGCTAGTTATTGGCCTCCAACTAGACTTTGTGCTACTGATCAACAGCCTCTGGCCCTGGCCGTTCAACCAGCTTTCAGTCTACCCTACTGTCTGCTCATCCAGCCCGTACTTCAACATCTTCTCTAAGAGGATCTTCCGGCAGACAGTGTCAGAGGCCTTACTGAAGTCCAGGTACACAATAGCCACTGCTGTCACCTCATCTACCAGGCCAGTCATTTCATCCTAGAAGTTTATCAAGTTGGTCAAGCATGACTTCCCCTTGGTGAATCCATGCTGACTACTCCTCACGATTTTCTTGTCTTTCATGTGTCTGGAAATGGTTTCCAGGGTTAGCTGCTCCACTTTCCCAGGGATCGAGGTGAGGCTGACCAGCCTGTAATTCTTTGGGTCCTGCTTCTTGCCCTTCTTGAAGATAGGAGTGACATTTGCTTTGCTCCAGTCTTTAAGCACTTCTCCCAATCACCTCGGTCGATCAAAGATTTTCGAGAGTGGCCTCTCAAGGACATCTGCCACCTCCCTCACTGCTAAGCTATGCAAACTATCAGGCTCCACAGATGTGCCCAGTTTGTTTAAGCGTTTCTGAACCTGGTCCTGTTCCACCAAGGGTATGTCTTCATTGCTCCAGATTTTCCCCCTTGTCGCTAGGACCTGGGGTTCCTGAAGGTCGGTCTTACTAATAAAGGCTGAGGGAAAGGCAGCACTCAGTTCCTCAGTCTTTTCCATGTCTGGTGGAACCAGGTTCCCTGACTCATTCAGCAATGGTCCCACATCTTCCCTAGCCTTCCTTTTGTCACCCATATACTTAGAGAATCCCTTCTTCTTTTCTTCGACATCCCTTGCCAGATTCAATTCCAGTTGGGAATGAGGTTAGGCTTTCCTAACCTCATCCCTGCATATTCAGACAGCGTTTCTGTATTCCTCCTGGGTTATCCGTCCTTGCTTCCACCCTCTGTATACTTCCTTTTTGTGTTTGAGTTTGGCCAGGAGCTCCTTGTTTGACCATGCAGGCCTCCTGTCATTTTTGCCTGACTTCCTTCTCAATGGGATGGACCACTCTTGAGTTTGGAGGAGGCTATCTGTGAATATTAACCAGAATAATTTTTTCAATAACCAAGAATAATAATTTCTTGGGCTCCTCTTCCCTCAAGGGCCCTATGCCACAGGACTCTTCCAAGCAGATCTTTGAAGAAGCTGAAGTCTGCTCTTCTGAAATCCAGGGTTGTGAGCTTGCTTTTCACTCTCTTTCCTCCCCTCAGAATCCTGAACTTCGCCATCTCATGGTTACTGCAGCCAAGGCTACTTGTGTACATCTGGGAACAGTACACGCTCAGGTCGTTGCAGCATCTTCTCTCATGTGACATACATTGGGCTGTACAGCAGCCACTCATGCTAATAAACAGGTTACTATGCCTAATATGACTGACATGGCTTGCCCATGATCACTAACTCCTTGAATACAATGTCTTCCGCAAGATTCCTCACATAATCTCTTGACTTTGTAAAACAAAAGTTAGGAATCTTACAAGAAGATAATTATTTTTTAAGTTTAGATATATTTCACTTCTAACTGAAGGCAACTTCAGAAAAGATTGTTTTGTTATCTGTTATAATGAAAGATACCTAATTTCATCTTAGGTCTCAATCTGCATAATGAAAAGGGTTTTTTTAGCTTACTTTGTGGAGGTTGATGAAGAACTTCTCTTCTCCAAAAGTATCATCTAACCAACCATATATCGTTGTCATGCAAACATTTTTGTCCATTGACATTATCTTCATGATTTTCTTCTGAGAGAAAGAAAAAATATTCAAGACCTATGAAAAAGCAGATTTTGATATAAGGCTAAAGTTAAACTGCATGTGGGGAGACTATAATATCGCTGACATAATTCTCCATGAGAACTTATGGAAAAGTTCATCCAAAAATAAATGAACTTCAGCAAGTAGCAGTAATGTCTGCAACTAGAAAATCAGAAGTAAAGTTAAACCCAGTGTTTTGTTCCCTTAGGATTACATTTTGGAATGTGAAAAGAACAGTTATAACAATTTTTTTTAAAAAGCAGGGAGCAACAATTGTAAATGCAGTTAAAAATTCTGAGACAATAATATCAATTTATTGGTAAAAACTTGATATATTTAAAAAATCTTGCCCTAAGAGAGTACAGTTGACTGATTTATTTCTTATAACTTCACTTCACATGTATGAGTAGTTGAACAGTATGAAATGAAGTGTCTGGATTCTGAATAATGTCAGTTTGTCATTGTAAAGTGAAATGATAAAACGTGATAAAAGAGGAAGTTCCTAGTACGCTAGCTGCAAACATGCCAAGAGAAATATCATATTTGTCACCTGCTAACTGCCTATAAACTCTCTCCTTTTGGAGTCTACACAGAAAGTTCTGAACAAGCTCTTTACTCCATAAATTTAAATTGTGGCCTCATAGAACTATTTCACTCACTTTTAAAGACATTAATAGGTAAATAACAGGTATTAAAAGATCTGAACTTTTCATCAGACTTACTTTTAACTTTCCTCTCTATATCTATTTGGCGCAGAAGAAATGTAACCAGAAGTAGAGTCCTATCTTTTTATTCAGTTAAACAGACAGGATGAACTTTTGTAATCTGAAATAATAGAGGTGCTGGGAACATTTTTGAATAGCATTTGATTTTGTGAAATTGCTGTTGTTTAACCCCAACCAGCAGCTAAGCCCCTCATTAACTCCTACTCCAGTGGGAGGGGGGAGAGAATCAGAAGGGTAAAAGTGAGAAAACTCATGGGTTGAGATAAGGGCAGCTTAATGGGTAAAGAAAAAGCTGTGCATGCAAGCAAAGCAAAATAAGAAAATAAGAAATTCAGTCACAACTTCCCATCAGTAGGCAGGAGTTTAGCCATTTCTAGCAAAGTAGGACTTCATCATGCCTAACAGTGACTTGGGAAGACAAACGCTATGACTCTGAATGTCCCTCCCTTCCTCTTTCTTCCCCCAAACTTTTATTGTTGAGCACAACATCATATGGTATGGAATATCGCTTTGGTCAGTTGGGGTCAGCTGTC